TCTACCCATGTACACATTGTTTTCAACGATCTCATCACCCCCTCACTACTTCATCCGGAGTACGCTCTCATCAGCATCACTGTCTTGTCCCCTGACCCATCTGACATAGAGACGACCGCTGACAGTGTTTCGCTACACACATCTAGAGACAGAGTATCCCCGGCCGCAACGGCTCAGCCCGGCCAGCTGAGTCTCTGCGGCTGACTGCTGTTCTCCCACCACAGCGATTGTTCGTTTAGGATTTCAGCCTTCCACACCACTGGGCTCTACCTGTCTATATCTTCTTAGGTGCTCCACCTGACCACCTCCAGTGCTCCCAATGTCATCTCAAATGTGAGTTTTTGCAATTGCTTACTACAGTAGTAGCACTCTCAATATATACATTGTTTCCAAATATGCCTTAGACACTCAGAGGGTTACTCACACAGCTGCCGAAGGCCGCCGTGTGAATAACCGGCCCGAAGTGAAGAAAGCCCCGCCCCAACCCATCCCCATGCTAGTGTAAAGGAGGGAGGAGACAGGGAGGAGCCTCCCTGTCCCTCACCCCTGAGGCTCAGTGACAAGTTACACAGCGGGGAGGATTTCCCTGCTGTGCAAACTGTTGCATGCCGATCTGAATGGAGAAAAAGCTGTCAGCTTCAGACATGAAGCGGACAGCTTTTTCCTCCATAATTCTAGGTGAAGCCTGACTTACCTGCCTCCCCTGACCGCACTCCCTGGTAATTATAGTTCAGCATTACCAGGTAACCAGGGGGCGCTGAACTGTCATTACACACAGAACTCGGCGGAGCCAGCGTGATATCAGATCACAGCATTAGCTCCCTGATATCTGCTGATTCCCCTGCAATGTTTTTTTCTGTTATTCTAATTGGCTATTGCACATGCCTAATGCTGCTGTCAAATCAGCAGAGGTGGACCTGAAGTTCCCCATCCTATGCTATTTGTTGTTTTTTTATTTCTTTCATCTGACGGCAGCAGCTGTCAAAATAATAGAAAAAAAAATAGCAGGGAAACCAGCAGATAACAGGGAGCTAATGCTTCCCCTATTATCTGATGCTTTTTTTTCTTTGTATTCAGACAGCAGCCGCAAAAAAATAAAAAAAATAAACAGGGAATTGGCCGATATCAGGGGGGAGACAGGCTAGGACTGGTCAGGGCATTTTTAAAATTTTTAAATGGGGGTCCCTCCTAACATTTATAACGTTAGGAAGGAGGACCCCACGCTGTGTTTATTTATTTGTTTACATATTGCGGAGAGAACAGTCTGCTTCTGCTCGGCTGAGCCCTTCGGGCTATTGTGAATAGCCCGTACAACGGCCTTTCAGTTCCACTGATCCGAAGGGCTCCCGCAGTCGAAGCGAGCCGAAGGATTAGCCGAAGGTTGGGCTTAATCCTTTGGCTCCTTAGTGAATAACCCTTTCAGTGTTTGTTTATAATGTATCTCCTTAAAAATAATTACAAAATAAACAAACTTGTTTAGCAAGGTGTGCTGGATCTGCAGAGGAGGCCATGACGTACCATTAGACTGACTTATTTTTACTTCTACCTTCTATCCTCATTTGGCTCCTAAGGTGCTGGCAAATTTTTACTGTTGTCTGTCTGCCTCTGGTGACCATTGTCACTGAAAGGGAAAACATTTTACAGTTATTCCAGGAATAAGAAGTCAAGGGGAAGTCTTCTAATGGAGATTTCCACTATCTTCTGTTTAATCTCTGGTACAAGAAGTACATTTCCCAATGGTACAAAGACAGCAAAAAAAAAAATCTGGCAGGGGTTTTCACCCTTCCCTACTCTATCCAATACTAAGATACACTTTTGTCTATACATACATTTTAACCTTAGTAAGTACGTACAAAACAGAAATTACATTTAATTAGTTCAGCTCTAATCCTTTTAAGATATTGCTAATTGATTGTGATGTCTTATGCAGAACTGTATACCTGCATATATACAGTATTTACTAAAAGATAGTAAGTTAGAGTTTTGCCTAAAATGATGTAAAGAATAAAATATGCCCAAGTCATATAAAATAGCTAAATATCAACATGTAACCTTACAGGTCTTTCAGGTATGCTAGAATCCTATTGTTTAAGAAAGCATGCATCTTGCTCGCTCTGTGAAAGTGAAAGTTTTGCTGATAAAAATTCCCTGTGTATACATCTGTTTTAAGTGTTGTTTCTGTCTTTTCGTTTTGAGCTGAGAACAGTGAGATACTACCCACTGATTCAGCTACTCCCATCTCCAGCATAGGCAAATACTTTTTGTCAACTAACGTTAATATGTGAGAACGCAGCCACCTACTGTTTGCAGCTCTGACTGAAAGGAACACACCACTGAGACCTATGGAGATGGGCTCCAGAGATGAGGCCTGGAAAACAGCACAAGATAAAAGCTTTATGAAGCATTACACAATATATTCTTTGTCTTTAGCATTCGGCTTTACAAAGGAACCTATTCTCCAATATCTGAAATTCTTGCTTTAGATCTTTTAGAGAAAATATTGGCTAGAGATCTAATTAAATAGGAACATCATCAATACTGTTCTGGTTCTGGTAAACCTTTCACTGTAAACAACTTTGCGGCTGGCTGTCTTTTTGTCAGACAACTTTCCATTAGACCAGTGAGCTCATGAAGAAACTGTGACACGCAACACTGTTGCAAACAATAACAAGAGAAATTCATAGTTTTGGGTGGAGGTCTAATTTTTTTGGCAAAGTGAAAAATGATTTGCCAACTGCAAACATTTTGTAAAGACCAGCAAAACCTCACCATTTTTCATTGTCTGCAGTGCATATAGCAGTCCCAGATTTGTTTCCTTTAGACTTTATAGTGTAAAACCCTTATCTAAAAAAAGTTTAATATATTATACATCTTCCTAATTTGCTACGTAATGTTAGGAAATTCTATGAAGTGATCTAGAGTCACACTAGCCAAATAATATGTGTTTTTTTCTGGTTGATAGATAGATGGATGGATGGATGGATGGATAGATAGACAGTGACATTTTTATCAGACAGGGCCAGCCTGAAAGGGAGCTACTTTTGCTGTGCTGTCTCCAACAAACCCATAGAACTTTGGAAATCTTTGAATCCTTGGTGAGTGGTCACATGACCATTCTGACCAATGAGTAGTGCTTTGGAGCCAGGGACCAAGTCTTGTGACCATGCTGACCAATTAACCCTTACAATTTCTGAACGTTATGCTCATTACATTTTGCCAGGCTGTGACAGTACCCCTGCTGGTGGGGAGATCATACAGGTATGTGCAGTGGGGGAGCAAAAGAGATGGTGGGGTGGTGTCGGTAAGTTAATTTCCTCACATGTTGTGAGAAAGTAAACGTACCCTTTATACTATAAACCCCCCAGTTGAGAACCAAGGCTATAGACGCAAACAGCCGCATTAGTTCACCTTCTACTGCTTTAATAAAGTAATTCTGCTCCACAAATCTGTTCCCAAATTATCATGGTACCTGTGTTCCTATAGCAACAGTTTTATATGTTTGCTACACAATGGGGATTATTGGTTAGCTGGGCTTAATGCAAAAAAGCTTTATATATATATCTATATATCTATCTATCTATCTATCTATCTATCTATCTATCTATCTATCTATATATATAGAGATAGATAGATATATATATGTATATATATATCCATCTATCTCTATATATATAGAT